CCGGAGGATGAGTGTCAGCGAACAGGTTAGGCCTCTCGATTCTTGCAGTGCCAAATGGCCTTCATCATCTTGCCACTAACTGGAATTTAGCCTTGGTGCTGTTCAAAGATGATGGGCGCACAAATGGTGCTTTCTCCAAGCAACCTTTCATTCATTTCGTCAAACTTAAACTTGGACTTTTTAAAGAAGACAAACAATGGGTATGAATCAGTCTGTTGCCGCAACAAATGGCCGTGTGGAAACATTCAACGCCAGTTCCGGGTTCCACAAAATGAATGACGTTCAGCACTTTGTAGACAGCGGTGGTTGTTTTCAAGTGATCGAGCAATACACTTGAGTTGGTGTTGACAGATGTAGTAGCTGAACATTTTTAGAGCTGCTCACCAACGCAAGTTTTCATAATAATTGATACATCAGAGAAAAAAAACATTCTAACCAAAATCCCCCCCCCCCCACAATTAAGCAAAAAAAAAAAAAAAAAAATAGGACTTCATTTCAAATTGGCAGTGCAGAAAATGCACAGTCATGGTTCAGTCACTGGTTTGGTCCGTATCGTGCAGTGTTCAGAAAACACTGCACACAAGCTGTTCCCCAGCTGGCTGCAGGCAGCAAAAGGGGTAAATAGTTGTCTTTTCACAGCAACACTCAGCCCATGCGCATGAACTGATGCCGAAGCCCGCTCAGATGAGCGGCAAAAGCTTTTGGCATTTGCCGGCCAAATTAAACGGCTGTCCAACCGTCTGCTTCCAGGTGGACTTTGTCATCAAGGACGCCACAAACTTGGACAACCTCGCCCAGCTCTACGAGGGCTGGACCGCCTGGGTGTGAACGCGGCACCGGCGTCTTTCGCGTCTTTTGGTTCAGTGAAGGCTTGGTGATCCACTCGAATCCAGCGGTTCTCGGGTGTCAGAACAGCAGCACCGGGCCACACTGCGAGGAGGAAATGGAAAGCGGAAGCTTCGCCCGCCCTCCCGACCTCCTGGGCACCCATACCGGGATAGCCACCCCGTAGCACCGCTGCCACCACACTCCGCAAACATGGGCGATCGGGCCAACGTAACGCTTAGCGGGTCTGCCGCCCCACCTTATTTTCTGGGGCCCGACCGGGCAAAGTCGCGACGGATCGGGGGAGGGCCGGGAAGGGGGGGTCAAAGGCCTCCTCACCCTCACTTTTGCAGCCCACGGTCAACTTGTACCCCCAAAAAATCACCGCGTCCTGTTGAGCTCGTCAAACACGGCCCGAGTTCAGGGTGAAGCAGGAAGTGAGCCGTTTCCCCCCCTGAAGCACACCGCCGTCACGCTGCGGGTGTGGGGCGGGGGCGGGGGCTTCTGCGGCGCCCCCAATCTCATCAATGGCTCATTTGCATTGCTGCCCCCGTTCTCTTGAAACTCAGCGGCTACGCGATATTGACGGCCCCGAGGGCCACAATGAAGAGAATGAAGGTTCCTCAGGATTCATTTGAAGACTGAAACGAGAAAGGAAAAGAGAATCCAAACTGTACTTTGGTTGATCAAACCGTCGTCAGACTTGACCCAATAAAAGATTGTAATTTGGGTCGGATGGATTTGCTCGCCGGAATGGTTCTTGCTGCCCTTGTGCTGAGTCACAAGGTGACACTGCTGAGACGGGACACGAAAAGGGGAATGTGGTTGGAGGAGGCGCGATCTCCATCAAATATTTCTCCTGTGTGCATCGTGATTAGTCTGTGTTGTGCTCTGTAACAATTTGATCCTTCTTTACAAATAATCTAGTGTAAACCGTGGCCGCCCCTTTTTTTTTTTTTTTTTTTTTTTTTTTTTTTTTTTTTTTGGGACTCTTACTCTTCTAAGTAGAAGCGCTTACTTTCACTCATTTGCAGCAGCTGCCTAAGCCCAAATGCTTGTATTTTATTCATCTGACTTTCTGCTTTTACATTTTTAGTGGGAGATATGCTTTTTGGTGATGGTGAATATGCTTCCTTAAAGCTTTTACTCCATTTGTTTGACTCTAAATAAACGTTGAATTCCTAAGTCTCATTTTGTAGATCATGCCAGTCAACTAATGTAACCGCTGAGCATAAAAAGATGTGAAATGAGCAGAAATTTCGACAACGCAACAGACAAAAAGTAATCAGTAAAAAGGTGCTGAATTTGCCAATCAACTTGTCTAGAAGTGCAACAATCAAATTGATTGACAGCTCATCAGTTATCAAATTAATGACAGTGTTTTAACCATTGATGACTGAAAGACTTTGTCTTAAAATTGTCCTAAATCCTTTCAATGTTAATTTTCTCACAATTCATGAAAGCATCCTGATTAGAACCGGTTGAGAAATTTTGACATTTTATTTTTAATCAGAGGTGCAAGTAAACTTCTAGACGGGTTTTTTGGGTGCCGATTTTGAATCCTTACTCTTCTAAGTAGAAGCGCTTACTTTCACTCATTTGCAGCAGCTGCCTAAGCCCAAATGCTTGTATTTTATTCATCTGACTTTCTGCTTTTACATTTTTAGTGGGAGATATGCTTTTTGGTGATGGTGAATATGCTTCCTTAAAGCTTTTACTCCATTTGTTTGACTCTAAATAAACGTTGAATTCCTAAGTCTCATTTTGTAGATCATGCCAGTCAACTAATGTAACCGCTGAGCATAAAAAGATGTGAAATGAGCAGAAATTTCGACAACGCAACAGACAAAAAGTAATCAGTAAAAAGGTGCTGAATTTGCCAATCAACTTGTCTAGAAGTGCAACAATCAAATTGATTGACAGCTCATCAGTTATCAAATTAATGACAGTGTTTTAACCATTGATGACTGAAAGACTTTGTCTTAAAATTGTCCTAAATCCTTTCAATGTTAATTTTCTCACAATTCATGAAAGCATCCTGATTAGAACCGGTTGAGAAATTTTGACATTTTATTTTTAATCAGAGGTGCAAGTAAACTTCTAGACGGGTTTTTTGGGTGCCGATTTTGAATCTGCCCTCTTTTTTTTGGGGGGGGGGGGCTGGGCATCACGTGTTAATAGTAATAATCGAAAATGTATTATGTATTTAGGTAAAACAAGAAATGAAAATATAGCCATCCCCAGTTAAAATTTGCCAATGACCGGTGTTACCTTTTGAGGTTTAAAAAAAAAAACCTTTTTGCCCAATTTCTGCCGTTACGGTCCAAAGTAATTGAAAGAGAATCACTTTGCCTTTTCCTGCACTGTCATTGTGAAATGTCTTGTCGTTGAATAAATGGATGCAAATGAAATGTTTTTGTATCCGACTAATCGATATCTTAATCAACAGATGAATCCAATTCCTCATGATTTGCGGCCCTAATCTCGTCTCTCTATGAGCTATGCCCGTTTCAAGACCTCAAAGACAGACCGACTCGTGTTCTGCGGAGCCCCGCGGGGAGCGCGAGGCTGCGCACTCAAGGTGGACAATCGGCCTCTTTGTGATGCCCACCGCTTGTGGTGATGGGGATTTTCGGCTCTTTTCGGTGATCCGGTTCATTTGGATCGGCTCAGTGAAAAGAGCCGGCCGGTTCTTTTTGGCTCTCAAACGGCTCTTTTAACTTTAGCTTTTCTTTTAAATATTTATGACAAATTTAGCAGACATTTTGATAAATGACTTGGTGAATTAAATCTTGCACTCTACTGACTGCAAATAGCAACAATTATCAAGCAAAGAAATGGCTTTTTACTTATTTTATTGAACATTAAAAAGGCTCCAAACAATAAACAAGCAACAAAATTAAACTTCAACCAACAACAATCAAACATGCTGCATCATCACAAAAATAGTGAGTATTAACTGCAATAGCAGTAGTGAACAAAACATAAGCTACTCCTTGCCTTATTTTAACAAACATAAGCTACTCCTTGCTTTATTTAAAATTTGCAGTCAACAAAACAAAATACTTCAACTTAGAATACTTCAATTTGTCCAGTCTTTGAGAACACCCTCTCTGACGGGACAGATGTTGCTACAATGCTACTCTCCATGACTTTGAACAAACGGGGGTAGACGGAAGCTCGGTATTTCCACCAGCTCAGTGGATCAGCTGCCCTTGAAATCTGTGGTTCTTCAAGATATGCCCCAATTTAGTGTTTTGTGTTTTTGCACGCTTGGCTAATACTGTACTGTAAATTACATTCAGATTGCTTGCCAAACGACTTTGTGGTTTCCCGGACAGTAGGGGGCGATATGAACTAAAGACATCCAATTCACCAAGAAGAAGAATAAGTACAAGCACAAGAACGGTACCACTTCCGGTTCAATGAGCAAGTTTTTCCACTGTCCACAATCCCTGTTCTCAGTGAGTAATTTTAACATTTTAAACTGACTTCGCAGTTTATCTCTGTCTATACACTCATTGTCTACATTGTAGACAATTGGGTAGAGTTATTACGACACGTTGCTCCTTTAATTTTGCTGTTGTGACTCACTAAGTCACTGAAAGTTATCATGTAAAAAACAACGTCAGCAAAGGGGGCAGTGAGCGAGCACGCCGCCGACAAGTAGACTTCAGCTGTCAATCAAAAAGCAATCGCTTCAATTCCAAGTTCAGACCAATCAGATTGCTCTAGATTTGCATAACCACGCCCCAAATATCCACCAATCAGAGAACGTCTTATTTGCATAACCACTCCCCCCCTTTCCACCAATCACAGCATGTTATCGTCATGCTCCACCCACTTTCACAGCTATCAGCGAATCATCAGCCATCATTCCAGCCAGGCCACACCCACTTTCCTGGATTTTTCTGCCTGGAAAAAAAAAATTTGGGGAAAAATTTTTTTGAAAAAAAAATTCAGAAAAAAGTTTAGAAAAAAAACTATAATTAAAAATAATTTTGTTTAAATTTTGTTTTTTTAAAGTTAGATTGTGGTGATGTGTTTAAAAATGAAGTTGAGTTGAAGTGTTCTTTGTAATCAAGCTTAATTTCTTTTGCAGAGTAGACAATCACAAAAGCAGAGGATAAAGTTGCAAGTTGGATGGCAGTCTGCTTGTTGCTTGGCGGCGAAGTGGTCAGCTCTTGAGAAGAACGTGGGACAGGTGTGTTGACCTGAGAGGAAAGGCATCCGTGAGTTACACGCAAGTCAATTTCTTGTGCAGACAAAGATGTGTTGGGCATGAAACATACCAGGGAGATAGACTCTGTGTTGGGTCTTTCGAGAGCAGGAAGCCAATCATGTTTACTGCTGCCTGGGGGAGAAAAAAAAAAGTCAAAAAAGTAGTCATGATGGTGCATTGAACGAGTGTAAATGTCTCCTACTTTTCAGGCTGGCCCAAAGTTTGACTTCAGCACCTTGCGAATAACAGAAAGAAGAGCAAAAAGTGTTGCCTGCAGATCTGTGCTCGTAGGTGGACTCTGGCGGTGAGCAGGTTACTCCCTCTTGTGGCGCGGATGACCCAAGAACAATCTTCCTTCAGCTCTGAAAAATGAAATGAGGCTTGTTGAAAAGAGACTTCTTACCAGCTCGATTCGCCTGATCACCACGCGAGGTCTTTTACCATTCGGCCATTCTGCTGCGAAAATTTCGAAATTTTTATATGTAGTCAAAGGCAGCCGACCACACGAGGTTTTGAAGGTTAAAAAAAAGAGCATAATTGGTGAGACGGTTGGCGTCTCTCGTGGGCGATGTGACGGCATTCCAACCTCACCCATAACCCATCGACCACGCCAGTGGCAATTGATCCCACTGACTATACAAAGGCACAAAACCGTAACAAGTAATTGGTCTTGAAAAATACAGTAATGCACTTTTAAGATTTAACGAGATTTATGAATAAAGGAATTTTTAAACCATTTACACGAGCATATAAAATCTAAATGTAATCCTGCCTACACTTTACAAATGAAGGAGAGTGCTATAATATGTGTAAAGAATAAAGTACAGTGATCCCTCGCTATTTCGCGGTTCGTTTATCGCGGGTTCAGTGCATCGCGGATTTTTTCAAACATTTAAATATACATGGAGTACAGTACTGTATAAGTTGCTCTATGTGACTCGCTGTTGTTTTGCAGCTTCTCGCGGACCGTTTGCGGACTTAAAAATGTATTTATTTATTTTTTTTAACCTGTTTATTTTAATTGGACGCTACTTCGCGGATTTTCGTTTATCGCGGGTGGTTTTGGTCCCCATGAACCGCGATAAACGAGGGATTACTGTATTCACATGTCCTTGATAGCGTCTGCTGTGTTGGATCTGTCTCAGTGACAGACTGAGGGTGCAGTTGTCTACTTCTCTTATCAAAACAATGTTGTCTTTTCCTCTGATCAAAACAGTGTGTCTCCCTAGCGGATATTCCACGAATTGCACTTTATTAAAAATATTCATTCTGTGTCTTTTGTGCATTTTTTTCACTTTTAAATTATCCTGCGGGCCTGATTAAACCTCCTTGCGGGCCGGTTCCAGCCGTATGTTATACACCCCTGATGTATAGAAAGGGGTTTTTAGCCGAAAAAACGACCATGTATAGTAAGGCGTTTTTAGCCGAAAAAAAGACCATCTATAGGAAGGTGTTTTTAGCTGAAAAAAACGACCATGTATAGTAAGGCATTTTTAGCCGAAAAAAACGACCATGTATAGTAAGGCGTTTTTAGCTCGAAAAAAACAACCATGTATAGTAAGGAGTTTTTAGCCCCCCAAAAACCCGACCATGTTTAGTAAGGCATTTTAACCCGAAAAAAACGACCATGTAAAGTAATGCATTTTTAGCCGAAAAACACGACCATGTATAGTAAGGTGTTTTAACCCGAAAAAACGACCATGTATAGTCAGGCGTTTTTAGCCGAAATTTTTAGCCGAAAAACACGACCATGTATAGTCAGGCGTTTTTAGCCGAAATTTTTAGCCGAAAAACACGACCATGTATAGTCAGGCGTTTTTAGCCGAAATTTTTAGCCGAAAAACACGACCATGTATAGTCAGGCGTTTTTAGCCGAAATTTTTAGCCGAAAAACACGACCATGTATAGTCAGGCGTTTTTAGCCGAAATTTTTAGCCGAAAAACACGACCATGTATAGTCAGGCGTTTTTAGCCGAAATTTTTAGCCGAAAAACACGACCATGTATAGTAAGGCGTTTTTAGCCCAAAAAAATGACCATGGATAGTAAGGGGTTTTTGGCTGAAAAAAACGACATAGTGTAGTAAGGCGTTTTTAGTCGAAAAAAACGACCATGTATAGTAAGGCGTTTTT